ACAATAACTATCTGTATATAACTTTTTTTTTACATTTTTCATAAAAAATAACTATTTGACAAATTTTCGAGATCTATATTAGAGCTCATTAACTTTAATGCTATGTTTTCTATTAACTATTCCAACATGTATTTTAAACTCTTACTTGTTTCCACGGATCCAGAGGTTTTTCTTGATGCAAGGAACGACATGTGAGATCACATGAGACAAAGGTTTAAAAATATATAAGTAATAAAGTTTTTTAGGATAAGAAAAGCCCTAGAAACCATAGAACATGAAATCAAAAACTTTTGATCATCATCAGCACATCGACTATCAAAGAAACAAGTCCTAAGATGCATTCATATAGCTCTACTATGTGTTTAACACCATGCAGATGATAGACCACATATGTCTTCAGTCGTGGCGATGTTGAAAAACGAAGAGATAGCCATTCTTCAGCCTCAAACACCCATTTGTTATGTCTTGGAAAGTACTTATATCGAACAACATGAAACCAATCCTTGCTCGAACAATCTAGTCAGACTCACCGTGTTGGAGCCTCGTCCTCTAGTTTATGTAGTTTCTCCTTTCACCAAGATCTCTTTTATCGACGAAAAGTGCCTTTAGAACACAACAATTTAAGGCTATTCCATAGCCTTTAATTTATATGTAGTCGAATGATTTTATGAGAAACCTTAACCCATGTATGCTTTACTTCTAAAAGTGGTATATGTAAGATGACAACTTTAACATATTTGTAAAAAGTATCTACCGCATAATTGTTTATGAAAACACAATCGTTGGGTAAAGAGTAGACCGATCAATTTTCTCACATGAAATATTATGCGAAGGAATCCTCTGAATTAGTCATCCATTTTAGTACTTTGTTTGTTGGTTTTTGTTTTCTCGGTTAATATTGAATGAAACCGAACCGGATGAATTAAGGTCTCATCATTGTAATTCCATCTTTCAAGTTTGTCAAAATCATAAATCAAATTCTTACACAAATTTCAATATAATTTGTTTCATCTTAATCTTATTAACATTAGAAAAAAAATGAAAACTTACCTAACTTACATAATGAATCTTGCGTGAATAAAAGAAATTCTACCACTATACAGATTGAAGTAAAGCAGGCAAATCCTTGTCTAAATATTACATTGGACTATGTTGGTCAACAAGTTTCTGCGATAGCCCAACAGACATCAAAAAGAAACTCTGCATCAATATCCTAGGCATTGTGGAGTTGACCATATAACCATTTCTTTTTGTTCCAAGAGCTCAACACCTAGATACCAAAGTATCACAACAAACTTATGCCACAATATTGTAGGAAAGAGTAATCTCCCAATGTGAGAAATGGTACATGCCAGTGCGTGCCTATTGTCGTCCATATCACAAATTCAGCATAAAAAAATGGGACTTTACGGATGAGGAAACATAAGTGTTTATCAATCCCCATTAATAACATCGCACGTATAGCTTGATAGCTTCACAACAGGGCATGATTTATGCAACCTACAATCTTGATACTTTAGTAGCCTCCTCTTCAACATTGTAGATAATATCAGCTCTTAACAAGATAGAGATTCTATTCTATTCTACCAATATCATAATCTAGCAATCTAACGATCCAACATCTTTCGAGACTTAGGTTTTACAGGCTTCACTTCATAGACTGACTTTGATAAAACCACCTAGAATATCTAGTTTAATATAAATCGGTTTTGTATATTTTGGATTTCAGTTGTTACTTTGCTTTTTTAAATACAATCTTCGATCTAAAAATTGAAATTAACTTTGGATCGGTTAAATTCAGTTTTGATTTTTCGAAAATGGAAAGAACGAAAATATTTTTAACCATACTAAGATTTTGTTTTGTCTTCCAAATTGATTAATTTGGTTAGGTCTCGGATCAAATCAGTTGGTCCGGATTTAATAACCCTAAACGATAAAATGATACAACTGAAAGTGAATACTGTATTTCAACATAACAAAATTCTTAGAACAAAACTTTCAGTTGAGTTGTAACTTATAACTTGCC